CCATAAAACACTATTATATCTTTTAAGTTTTAGTCTGATTAGATTGTCTACTCTACAGGCGAATAGTAAAAAAAAATCCCTATAAAATATTTTATTTTGTGGATTTAATATGAAGAAAGGTCAGGAATATTTGGAACTTTGGCCTCGAGTCACGATCTATTTAAAAACCGTCTTGTCTCCATTTTGACCGTTTCTCTTTTTCAGGCGAAATACAGGCAATCTCGTAGTCAAAGTTAACAACGCTTAACTTTTTGAGGTAATAGTTATGAAAAGTTCCCTTTTTTCTTTTATACGAGCAACCTCTTATTTTATGAACTTTTGGGATCGGATTCCATCGTTAATTAGCTACTAAAATAAAAAATATCGCACAGCAACAAAGCTGGCGCGTTATTACATAATAAATTTAATCAATAACAATTTTTTATTATTATTTACCTTTCCATTATTTATTTGAATTTGGGATTTATAGAAGCACAAATCTACAAATGTATGGACATATATATAAANACCTGAGTTTTGGCAAAGCGTTTAGAAAAAGAAGAACAGTGTTGGATCCAGTATCCAGTATTGACCCTTGTGAAACACCTGCTGCTATATTGAATGGGAATGAGAGAGATATCTTGATGTAATTGTGTTTTATTGTTTATGCCAGTGCATTTTGCAATTGAACCTTAGTTACATTCTTCGTCTAATACAAATGTAATTCCGCCAAATGAAATTATTTCAAGTAATAAAACCTGCTTTTTTAAGAAATTGTTTACACACAAATAAAAATCTTGACTAATTGAGAAACAATAACGCCTATAGGACTATAAAACGTGTAACAAACAAGAATTTCCGCTCCGGGAAAAAACCGAAGTTTTGAGGTATATTGGTTTAATAAGTGTATGACAGTGGTGTGTTGTGGAAGCTAGGACGTCTTGACCATTGTCTTGACTTAAGTTCGGATTGTTTAAACCCTTTTAGACGACTTCTGTAATCTGCACCGATAAATCATTTGTAAAATTTCTCAGAATATTAATCAGAAAATTGCTTTTCTTGAAGGATTGGAAGATCTTTATATGTAATTAATACATTTTATAATTTCTCACGGGTCAATTAGTCTAAAAAGGCAGGAATTGAAGAATGAAAATATTGTATAAACTTAGTTGGTGTTAGCCAAACTGAGGGCTGAAAACCAACCTGTTCGACAGATAAATAATATGCAGTATAAATTTTTAAAAATATTATAGTAAAAGTTGGTTATTTTGTTTTATTAACTGCTTCATTTTGATGTAAATTTGAACAGTTGAAAATAATAACTCCTATTAGAGATGAAATAGAATCGTTAGTGATCTTTAAGCCAATCCGGTCGACTGTTCAAATATTCAAACAATCGCGACGAATCAAAAGGGGAGGAAAATCTCCAATTCTATCTCCGGTTCCCAGAAATTCGGACTGAAATTAGTCCCAAGCAATAATTGAGTAGTGTGAAATTGAGAAACTGGAATTGAAAATACATTGGCCATTCCCACGGCGGCGTTTATGGCCGAACAACCGATCCACGAATAAATTACAGACTGTTGGCCCGCATCGTCTCGCTTCTCTTGGATGACTGCCGTTGGAAAATGTTAACTGACAACCGGATGACCGAACGCCCATGCCAACCGGATCGAACTTTAAATTTGTTAATATTTCTTAAAAGTAATAGAGCATAAAGACATGACTAATAAGTAATAAAATATAAACAAAATAATAAAACAGATAAATTACACCAACAAAAAATTTCATCTATATATTGACCAAATACCATATTAGTATTTATTTATTTTTAAATAAAACAACTATAGCAAAGTCGTCACCTATATCCAGGTTTGACTAATACAGTTTTTTAAGAACTGCCACATCAAAAGGTATGTATGCATGTATTAATACAGATGACCTATTATCCCACCTTCAAGAAGGAAGAATCATAAGATTAACTGTTGATGTCAAAATATAAGAAAACATCATTAATACAAACGTATATTCCTTTAAAATAAATGGAAACATTGTCACATCAAAGGATCAACCCATGACTGAACTATCTTCAATTGGAAAATACCGGACTATTTTATGTTAGCAAATAGAACTTTTAAATTTGGTTCATCATGATTAAAAAGATGATTTAGTTGATGATCCACTTTTGCAATACGATTCTATCAAAGGACGGAATTTTTGTACACAGCTTTTAAAAAATGGCCTCGTTTTAGATGTATTTTACAATTGAATAGGAAATGTAAACGGACAAAAATATCATTATAAAATCATTAAAATGTTATATTATTACCTGTGCAAGTATTTATCTTATTCTGATGTTTCAGCATGTATGCATAAAGTCATCAATGGAAAATCAAGACAGTGAAAAATGGTCTACAACGGATTAAAATTCTGGCAAAATTTAATTCCAATTTGTCATACTTAACTTAAAAACAACTGAAATTTCGAAGAGTGCGCAATTGCAAAGTATCTTGTCCTGATGTTCTAGGTTATTGATGCCAATAGGTATATTCACGCATTGATGACCTCAATACTTCACATTTTGGAAATTGTGAAGTATTAATAAACCCATTTCTGTTCAAAAACGTTCAATCATTGTTTTAATCGTAAAATTTTGAGTGTCCTCAAAAAAAATCTATCCCATTCATAGCGAAGTCACATGTCGAAAATCAGGAGAGGTGGAGAAATGTGACTGGGAAGTTTATATAATTGTCTTTCGTATGTTGCACTTAGCCATAAATTTAAAAAACTCACATTTTGCTACTTTAAGTTCACTATTATAGGAAGTTGTTTTTCACAAAAGCTTTTGAATAAATAGTCTGGAGGTTGATGGCAGCGTGCAAAGTACCGAAGTAGGGGTGAAAGGGTACAATATGAGAAATATTGCACTGTTATATGTAAATTTTCAGCAAATGCCCAATTTCAATGTCTCTTTTTCAGTATAATTTTGCTGAAAATGCAGCCATATTCACTGTTCTGTATTTAAAAAATTAACTATTTCTACTTTTTACGTGTTTCTAAGGTGATAACTTTTTATATAAATTTTGATGAAATGCGCAATTTGAAGGTAAAATTTGCAGAGAATTTTTGCCAAAAAGCCAGTAATCACTGATACTCGTACATTTAAGCAATTTTGATTAATTATTTAATTTATCTGTTTCTAGTTGACGTTGATCGACCTACGTAGTTTAAACTGATATTGTATTGGATCTTCTTAAGGTCCAAATGATCTCAAGAAGATCCAATACAACATCAGTTTATCAGTTTCTTTAAAAAATTACATCATAGGCTACCGAAATGTGACCAGGGGAGAAATTAAACTTTAGGAAATTGGCTTTCTGGATGTTTTTCTCTCTTAAAATTTTGACCTTTGACGAAATTATGCGTCCTAGTTTTCAAAACGAAGTCAATAAATTATGAAGTGTGTGAAGCAAAGCGCTTAGATTTGAGAAAAAATTTGCCATACTTCAAAACTTACATTTTATCAATTAAGATTGACTATTATTTCGAGATTTTTTTTAATCAAAAATCAATAACTTGCTTAGGTAATTTGGGGCAAATTGAATTTAGTGGTGCGTGCAACGGACCCATTTCACATTTATGGAAAGTAGACAAATAATAAAAGTATTATATAATATTCAGTACAATATTAGAAAAATCGCAAACTTTTTTATCTAAATTTCAGCAAATGCACAATTTCGAAGTATTCCTTTTTCAGATTATTTAAGTTAAAGAAGGGTATTATCTTTCCGGTATTGACAAAAAAATAACTATTTCTAACGTGACGACTTTTGATGTAAAATTTGAAGGTAACTTACTTTTAGATTATTTTTGCCAGAAGGCCGTCAAACACTGACACTCATACATTTAAGAAACTTTGGTTATTAAATTTATTTATGTTTCTTTAAAAAATTACATGAATTGAAAAAAATTGAATGAAATGAAACTTAAAGAAATTGGCTTACTGAACGTTATTTCTCGTGAAATATTGGCTTAATTTTCGACAGAATTATGCGTCCTAGAGTTTTCATAATGAAGTCATACATCAGAACATCATGAGGGTACTGTGCGTATTGTGCAACGCTCTTAAATTTGAGAAAATTTGCTTTCCTCGATTTATACTTTGCCATATTTCAAAATCTTACATTTTACCAATTACGACTCACTATTATTTCGATTTAAAAAAAAATCAAAATGAATAATCTTATTTACGTAATTTGGGGCGAATTTAATTTATTTCTGCATGCAAAGAGCCCCAGTTTCAGGGAAATAGAGCTGATAAAAAACCACCTTATCGTATTTTGACAAGGTAAAAATATACAATACTAAATTTTTAAAAACTGCAAATTTCAAGGTATTTCAGATTATTTTTTGCCGAAAGGTCAGACGTTCTGAAATTTTAAAAAGTTATTTAACAAAATCATATTTTGCTACTAACTTTCCTCATATTATTAAGTTTTCTTTCTCCACAAAATCAGTTTCAATATTAGAACAATTACTAACTTTTTTCTGCAGATTTTGACAAAATGCGCAATTTTAAGGAACCTATTCGAATATATAATCTTCCAAAATATATTGACAAAAGTTCAAAGCACGCTTACACTCAATTTTCGGAGCGAGATCGTTTTAAAATTTGAAATGACCGCGTTATGTTCAATCAACAACAGAACTGTTTTTAATGATGAAATAAATTTATTTTTCTACACTATTGCAAGTATATAACTTTAATCGAGTGAGCAACACGTGGGATACGAAAGGGGTGAGGGGGGTCTCCTTTTTCACCCCTCGTTTATGCCACAAAGGGTGGAGGGAGATTTTAAGCAACAGTTGATTCGAATCATTTTTCTCCAAATCAGTTTGTAATTTAACAATAATATTTTTTTTAAATAAATGAAAGAAATCACCATCGGATTTTGTAGCCTTTATGGTCTTAATCGATCAATGGTCCACTAAAAAAAGTATAAAGGATTTTAAAATATTACCTGTTTTTGGTCCGTTGTGGATCTGTATCCGTCTCGCGTAGTTTCTTCGGCACGGGCTAACACAGGCAGACCGAGACAAGAACGGGTCTGAAAGACGACTGGGGCCGCATGGCGTCGCTCGTTTCCATTTCCAGCGCCCCCTCTCGCAGACACAGCGCCGACGCACAACGCCCGCATATGAACTTTATTATTAATTAAAGTTTACCTCGGATATTTCAATATTGGCTCAAGACGAACCGATTGATTATAATACAGCTTACCTGAGAGAAACGCTTATCATCCTTGACATAAAGTGGAGTTCAATATGTATATTTAAAAAAATCGGTAATTTTATTACATATTTGGTATTAAAAACCTCACACTTCTTCTGAGTACGTTTCAATATTATGCCATAATCATTACATTTTTTGACTTTTAATTTCAATACACCTTAATCCAACCATCTTTTAACAAAATTACATATTATCCTAATGCTCGTGTGATGGGGACAAAATATTAATATAATAAAACCGTAAAGATATGAGAAGGAAAATAGAAAATTTTACCATAAAATATTGCCTTAACATTTTATGGATGGTTTATAACGGGTTAACAACACACTATTTACACACAGAATCGAGATAAAAACATGATAGGTCAAGTACTTGATAATAAGTAATTGGAAATAAGCCCTTCATTCACCCTAATAAATTATAATTATATATTCATTCTCATGAACCCAGAGTACTAGATATTCCTCCGGGTAATTTGTGATAAACCCTGTCATTCACGCTAATAAATTATATAGACATCTCAAATCGTACACTACCTCCCAGAGTTCTCGATATATCTCGGATAATTGGAGGATAAGACTCTCCATTCGCGCAAATAAATACATCCGTTCCAATAAATAACACAATTCACATATCTGAAGGTACACAGATCCATAAACAATTAAAGCTATTTATGGCCCTTTTATATTCGATCAGCGATTCGTGACATCCAATATTACAATAATTTTTGTGGTTTAAACATTGTAAACCTTCTACGATAGTGTTATTTTAAAATAAAATTAAATGATTTTTTGTAATTGTCAAATAACTAGATTTAATAATTATGTGCAGCGTATTTATTTAAATAAAATAACTTTTTTTTTTTACATGGAACTTTTTTCTTGCGACATGGTTGATCACCAATGAGATAATCTGGATAATCCTAAAACCGTCCAAACGAGAAACAGAAGGAAAATGGAAAACCCAACTGTAAAATATTATATTCATATATGATATTCTATATACTTTTTTTAAAATAAGGTTTTCAGCAATACGAGATGCTAGAAAAATTTCAACTTTTTTTACGAAAAATTACTTACAATGCGTCACAGTATGTTTGTTATGTTGTTTATGTTTCATAATTTCAAGTAGAAATAAATTTGTAATAGTATTACCAACACTCTAACTTTGTATACTTGTTGTGCCGCCATAAACACTGGCTTTTTAAACTTGCAAACCTTAATTCAGTCATCTTTAGTTTTAATTCCTGCTCACACGGTCGGCACAAATCCGAAAATCAAATCGTCTAAACAAGACAAAAAATATTAATGGAATAAAAGTGTTAAAATATGGAAACTGAGAAGGAAAAATGAGCATTTATAAAATAATATGCATATTTATATTTGATGGCTTGTTTAGAAGCTATCATCGAACCTATGACTTCGATGATGAACGCAGAAGCCGCGAGAATCACCCCCTCCGGTGTTTTGGTAGTCCGGTCGGCTTTATCCATAGTCCACGGCTGAATTCAAGCTCCAGTGGCTATCAAGGTCATTTCAGCACTTAACGCATGCAGTTATAACGTAAACACCCTCACTCATTCTTAAATACATTTTTTTCTTATTTACATACCATTCACTCGCGTAGGATGATGATTACTCGTTAATCCTTCATCATCCTTAGTACTTATAAACAACTAGACAGACATACATCAACCAGCCTAATTGAGGTCGATCTCCCTACATTCTGACATCGACGACGATGTACTACACACAAACATTCACGCTTTTAAATACATTCTCATAAAACAATTAACCCAAAATACATATATTACCAAACATTGTATAAATATTATACTTCAGTTTCATCCGAAAATCGGAATAAGGTATCCAAAGATTCGCTGCCGTACTCGAGCACAAGTCTCATATCGAGTGGCAGTCCCATTCGCTCTATATATAGAGCCAAGGAATGACACCCTTAAATTAAGAGGCCAGATCGAGCTACCTTTCTTTACATGATGGACACATACGCGGGCTTTGGCCCGAAGTGTCGGTGTATCATCCTTGCATGGCCGAGTTAGTATGTTGTTTGCATCTATTGGGGCCACACCCTCACTTCTAAAAGCTTCGTTTCGGCACTTGTGTTGGTATTTTTATTTATATAATTAACCTTAATTAAATAATCATTGGAAACACGCAGACCAGACAGAAGATGGTGAAAAGCCGAATCGCGTCAGACATACCAACAAAGCGAAGGTAGGCAGACAAAGATGATCTGGTAACGACTAAATTATGGGTTCAACACACTGCAGACCACGCACAGAAACCTCACATTATAATAAAACTGTCCAAACATGGAATTAAAAAATAATGATAATTTATTATTGAGTGCAAACTTCAACGGCATGACGGCTAAAGTGCAAGCGTAAATCCTCGTCAGTCAATAGGATGGAGACCGCGTCGACCAGCGGGACACATCGGTCACGGTAATCAGTCCGCTGGCTTCATCCAGCTTGCTGCAGATATAGCGAAAATTCAAAGTATGCAGCCCCATTAGCACCAACATGGCATGCGCAGCTGGTCCCAGTCTGGTTAGGTTTTCGATGTCTAAACAGGTGCACTGGTAAAGTTTTTTGATGGAATCTAATGCGGCCTTATGGATAGGTTCTTCTGTTTCCATTTTAAGTCATTTTAAGGTAGAGGTCTTCATTTCAGACACACCAGTTGTATTGTATCACGACGTTTAACGGCTGGCGCAGCCCCAGAGCTTGATGACATAAATCCACATGGGATTGGCGATCTGCTGGTAAAGTTAGAGCTTTCTTTCAATGTGCTGCTAGAGTTCTTGCCCATTAGCCAGAATCCTGAACTTAATGTCGAGTTCTTTACTTGAATTTCAAGACCGTTCAGCTGGCATGTAATGAATTTTTCCGTTCTTGTAGTCCACATGTCTTCATTTAGCTTAACTCGCTACTTTGCTATCCAATTCAGGAAAAAAAATATGAACAAATACAAAAATTAATTTTCACTGATTAATCCATTAACAACAATAAAACCAAGATTAAGTGTAGCATTAAAAATCAAATTAATGTAATAGTACTTTTTCATCCTTGAATGTGCATTGTTTGTCAGTCTTACAGCTAATTATTACTACTTGTAAATGTTTTAGTGAACAGAATCGACAGAAATAAATTGTTAAAAACTTTACATAAATGAAACCAATTGAAATTGATATGTTTTGACCAGAAAGATCAAACTCGTCGAATTGGTTCTGTTGGGAAAAAAAACCTCCCAAGTTATATGTGTACACTTTCATCCCTGTGTGGAAAGGATATAAAAAATTTGAGATTTTTGTTTTTTCTCCCTATCCCCCATCCTCCACGAGTTAATATCGTTGTGATGTTCTCCTGGTGTACTTTCAGGAAATTGAAATGTGAAAAAAAATTGCTGGTTGGACGGCTCAACAGGCACTTCGTGATAATGCCCAACCTCGGACAACGGCAATTATAGCACGAAGCCGAAAGTCGGGAATTGTTAAAAATTCACCCGCGTTTATTTTTCTCTCTTTTATACCATCTAATCTTGACAAAAACGTTTTATGTCTGTTGGTTCAGCCTTAAACACATAAGCATGAACGCCCTTGCAAAATAATATTTGGTACATAATTTCCACAATAGGATCTTGTTCATAATGGATATATGAAGGATCCATAACTCCTGTAATGGCGAACCAAGGTAAAACTGAAAAATCACTAATTTATTATTTCTTATACATAATTTGATCCAGGGTTTTAAATATAACGATTTTCGATTTATAGTCTTGTGTCCGATAGAAGTCTACTGCTCACTGATGTAAAAATGTATATTTAAACGGAAATAAATTACACTGGCAATGTTTACTGTAATGTTTTTCAAATAGTTATTTGTACAGATTTGTCAAACCATGGGGTAGAGGAGTCAGCCATTGCTAGAAATCATCATGTTATTTAGTTGGTACTAGGATAGGGTCATGATAGGAGGTCAAGAAGCCATCGCCATGGAGGATTATAAAGGTGTGATGTTGGGGGAAGAACTTAAGCTAGTCTGTTAAGATGGTTAGATAGATGGAAGTGGAAATTGTGGAAACGTGATCGGTTCTTCCACTAATAGGATGTCCAGGATCTGAATCGTAAATCGTCACGACTTTGAACTGAAAGGATTCGATGTTAGTTGTATTGATTTCGATCTGTTCATTCGAGTAGATTCTCCCAAATAAAATATTACAAGCCTATTACCTTTGCCCAAACACCAAGCTGCACCTTGAGGAGCAGAATAGCCAATTTATTAACAGAACTCAAGAATTGCATTTTCATTGTCCAACTAAAATTTGGATCTGTACTGATCATTACTTGATCATCTGGTTGGAGGTGGGTAGTTTCAAGTGTAAATTGTGGAAACGTGTTCGGATCAGATCCTCCAAAGATTGGATTTCTAAATCTTTGTGAATTGTTAAGCCTTGTACCCACGACATGTGGCTTGGCGAATCTCCAGCGGCCATTGCGTCAATTTTTGTAATGAAGTTAGTTTTGATTTAAAGAATAACTCTCGTTCTATGTTCTATTATGATTTATAGATGTTGAAAAATAAATGAGGAAAGTGATGAAGAGGAAATAGGGTGTGTCCTAGCGGCTATGTATTGTTGAGTGGCGACGTTTTGAAGAAGAAAAAAAAAGGAAGGCTCGCAAAAGGCCTTGGTGGATGGACTCAATAAAAGACATGAAAGTTATTATCATTGATTAGTCCATTTTTTTAAATAATTAGGTACCTGCATAAATTAATTCCAATTTCGAAAAGTCAGGTTTTTTCTTATTTGCCAAAACAATGCTAGTGATATGCTGAGAGACCTGAGAAATCAACCTTCTGGCAGATTTTAAAACTTTTGCAGAATGTCAGAAGCTGATTTTGAATATGTCTTGAGTTGGATCAGACCATTTATAATAAAACGAGAAACAAACATTAAAGTATTCCCATTCAAAAGAGACTAGCTATAACAATAAGATTTACACTACTAGGGACAGCTATCCCAGTTTCTCCTACTTATTTAAGTTCTCAAAGTGAACCCTAACCCAATGCGTAGATGAATGGGTCAGGCCATAATACAAGAGCTTCAAGAAGAAGTAAAGGAGGAAGAAGTAAAGGCTTCGTGCAAAAGAATAAAACAAGTGTTGGGTTAGGAATATCAAGGGGCATGTTTGGAGACTGTTCACTGCTGTTGTAATGAGACTTAGAAGGGGGTGACCTTCTTAGACGATGAAGTTCTTTATGGTGCAGTCTTCGGTGATGGGCTCACCAGCACAGTTGAGGCATCCTATCCTGATGCTGGCAGTAGGATTTGGTGAGCCCACATTTTTGGTAACATTGGCGCTGCACAATTAAACGTTACTTGTAGAGTTCTTCAAGTTTTATTCTCGAATATCAAATAGTATTGATGTTTCAGTATTTGTTGTTCGGATTGGGATAAAGATCCACAAAGTAGGGTCTGTTTGATGGCTGGATGAATTGTATGGTGAACATTAGTGGTGTAACATTCCTAAATTGTGGCCAAGTTAGGACAGTTCCTCTTTGATCAATTCAGGCGATATACCCTGGTGGAGATTCCTTATTACCACTCGGTACGTTTTTCCTCTTGTAACTGGAACGTGTGTTAATCAGCGATATGTTGCTTGAGGTACCTAGTTATGCCTCTTTGGCTTTCAGCCGTTTTAACGTTTAAGGTCGGTGATCCGCACTTTGTTGTGAATTATTCCCACTAGTTGTGACAATACACTGCACATTATGTCAAAGTTTTTAATATTCTTTGTGTATATGACGAGAAGGATATGAATATGGACTTTGAGGGATGAAGAAGTCTCTATTTCATCTGGGTCACTTAGTGGAGCAAATGAGTTAGTAAGCGCTCCTGGTGTGACTGTCATTTCTGTGGAGGAGCTGGGACCAGAATTTGATTGTTAGCCATTATTGGTGCCTGAAAATTCGAGGTTTTTGTGCACTCATCAGCCTGTGGTGTTTGGCCAAATTTATTGTGCCCTCAAGTATGCATGTTTTGAAATCGTTCAAGTGAAAAATACCTATTTGATCCACAGGAATAAGACATCTTTTGTATGAAAAGAGAAAAAGTCTAAATTAAACGGAACGAGGTTTAAATTAATAGCAAAAAGCTTTAAAAATGTTTCTAAAAGAGCTTACTTCATCAGACGTTTTTGTTTTCGTTGGTGTGTAGATACTGTGCAAAAACGATGCCATTTTCTTGTAAGCAAATCATTTTGGCTTCAACACTTCTTTAGTTCCAGCCCCTTTTTTTTAATCTTCAACTCCAGCTTACACTTTTGGCCTCTCGAGTGAGTTTTGCCCCGGATTGAGGTACGGAATATGTATGTAGACTTTTCCATGAGCCCTAGGTGCCGTGAAGATGGTTTTTATCCACATCCATCTGGAACAATATGCATAAAGTAAAAAAAGGGTAGAAGGACCTTATGCAGGGGAGTGACCTCGGTGACCTGCCCGGTCGGTGTTTGCAGCCATCGGTCTCAGCAGGGTGGACTGGGACTCCGTGGGGGAAAAAAAACAGTCGTACCAATAAATACCAAAAAATAAAAATTCTTGAAACCATGTTTTTTGAAATAGCATAAAAAGCATATATGGATTTGTTTCAGGATTGTGGTTGTATGGTACATTGAATTATAAAAAAACTTGAGTTGTTTCAAGAAAGTATGTCCAAATTTGACAGACACATTTTGCCAATGTTTTTTAAATGCCATTAAGAAAAGCAATCAAGTTATTTTTCCCTGAAAAGAAAATATTCAATAAAATAATTAATTATAAAATTGCATTAAAATCTTTTATTTGATTCTGGTACATATAAAAACAATTGATGTTACAACAGATTGTGATCTTGTGTAGCATAAATCACAGTTTTCAGTTTTTGGCACATTTCTCTCCAATGAGAAAAATACTCAGTGTCTAAAAAACTTCAAATGTTCCACACAAAATTAAACTATTTGGCTTTGATTTATGATTTTTCCTAAAGCTTCACTGTCTAGTTAAAACCACTAATAAAACTTTGTTTAATTAACGTACATCAATTTTAATGCTAATATAAATAATAAAGAAAATAGTTTTTTCTGCATTCTTGAAACCAAAAAAATAGTTAATAACATAAATCTGTTTGGGCTGTTTGTTAGCAGTTATATATTAGTCTTAAAATATTATAGAAAGAAGTAGTGATCTTACTTTTTTCAGTGCAGTTGATTAACAATGCTTTTCTTTTGTTTGTGCTTTACCTGAAAGTTTTCTAGTTATATAACGGTTAAACTTACCAGATTCTATTTTCTGACAAATGTATGTATATTGGTTTACCAAAAGCTTTAACTTTAATTCATTACTTTATTTTCATGTTTTATTTTTGAATAGTTGCATTTAAAGAGATTTATTAGTTTTATTAGTTCATAATTTGGGATTTGGTATTTTGCCATAATCAAGGAAATTCAGATGATATTTTTAACTTTATGACAAAATTGTTCCTATCAAACAAGAAATATATGCAATATATATGTATATATTTTTCTTATATTAATTAAAACAACACACACTGTTTTATAATATAGAAAAAAATAATTAAATAAAAACATTGGTTACAAACAGGAACAGTTATAAAATTCTTAAAAATGCGCAATAACATAAAAATTAAAAGCTATAAACATTCTCATTATGTACAAACATAGACCTAAGTTACATTCTGTGCACAATCGGTGTTTTAGGAATGTGTAACAACTGTAATCCGAGTTGTTTTTCAATCAGCTTGGGGTTTTTTTCACGATACCCATGAGTTTTGAAGCTTGTGCAGAAAGTTGACAGCACGACTGCTTATATTGAGTGCTGGATGTATCTCGAGAAGGTCGTCCTTTCCTATGAAGCTGAGCCCTGCCAAACCTTAAAAAAAAAAAAAAAAAAAAAAAAAAAGCGATGGTAAAAATTGAACTTTTTATCTTTCTTTGTTTTTATCTTACCGAGATATGTATGCAGGGGATCGGGAGTATAATCGACCCATTTAGAAAATCCTCCTATAAGATTGTCTTGAGTTGAAAGTACAAACTCTCTGTTTTTATCGTAGTCTGTTTTATCATAAAAGTCTAAAATCTAAACAATCAATTATTACAAATGAAATATTCAATATATTATAATCAAACGAAAAAATTATTTTTTTAAATATTAATACTTATTACAAAGTTGTGCGTTTTTTTTTGTGTTTTTTTTTTCCCTCCTGATCACAACACAGACACTATGGCCAGCAATGCACCCGGAGGACCCATGTTAAGAGAATTGAGCTAATAGTGGCACTCAATTAGGCGAGGAGGTCTCAGGGCTATCATCATTTAAAGCAACAGAATATTGAGGTCATTCTGGATAGTGAGATTAGTGAAAAAGTAAGGAGGTTTGACCATTTGTCTAAAGATTTTTGTTTAGGATTGAATGTGCTGGTGGACAGCTTGAGACCCAGTTTCACTCTGTATGTTTAAAATGGTCATAGTAATATTTATGTTGTGGGCAGAAGCCGAATTGGTGAGAAGGAATGTTACCTGTGAATTTATAATGGGTATTAAATGTTTTAAAATGTTCTAAGAATTTAGGAATCACAGGAAGAAGGATGATGGGTCTGTAGGAGAATGTGTAGTTGGGATGTTTGTGAGCTTTAGGAAAGGAAATGATGAAATGTTTCCATAAAGGTAGAATGGCATTGTTTATTGAGGTTAAAAAAAACTATGGCATGCTGAGGAATGTTTACAAGCAAAGTGGAGGTAATTAGGTCATGCCTAAGGGATTTTCTACCAAACTATCTTCGTATTAGTTAAAATTAAATTACTTTAAGTGTAGCTCCGACCCAAAAAGAATAACAGGTGTCATGACGTTTGTTCGCGCGGCCCTGGAAGCCAAATTCCTGTCTCATCAACGCCCATTTCCTCAGACCTTGGAGCTAAAAATCATCCGAACATTGAAAATATATGTGTTGTGAAGATTTATTATTATCCAGGTTGATCAAGAGAAATATCAAATGTTTACCTGTTCTTGAGAAAGTGTTGTATCAAGCTTTCCCATTAAAAAGAGAGAAGCGACAGCACAAAATGTCACACCTCCATGTGATTCTAAATCGGGACCTTGCCCATAGCCATAATCGTATGACTAAAAAATAAAAGTTTTGGTTAACAAACAAGCTTTTCTGAAATTGATGAACGAATTAGCATAAGTAAAGTATAAAATTAGTTTAAGTGTTAATTAGTAACATTTATTATTTTGAAAAACTTAGTTACCATGCTTTTTTGAATATATCGAACTGTTTTATCAATATCGAAAGACCAGTCTTTCAGGATGTAGCAAATGCAACAGGCACAGTAAACAAACCTCATGTCCTTTTCACTACCGAAATGCACGGCTGAGAAACTGTAACAAAATTAAATTAGTAAAATAATTCCATAGGCGATATTTTTGATAGATTACCAGCCGTCTTCTTGTTGAAGGGATCCGACGCCTTTCAAGATGGCGTTTCTGTTGAGGCGGGAGAAATCGTCGCCAAGGAGCAGCAGAACTGAAAGGCTGCAGAAAGTCATAGCAAGGTGGCCTGTGGCAAATTCCGAGTTGCAATGCGAGATACCATGATCCAGCATGATATGAAATGTATCACTGCCTTGGAATCCGCATTTGTCTGTGTTTCCATCTAAAAAAATCAATTAATGCACTGCAGATATGAAATTTTATGAAACCTTATCTACTAATTACCAAGGTCGGGCAAAATTTGCAACCTGTATATCCAGTTGCATATGTCCTTTTTGAGGTCATCGTTAATCTCCTTGTCCAAAGCATTTAGTACTTCAAGACCGGATACACAAAAAAACAGAATGCTTATTCTGTAAAATTAAATTGCAAGTGTGATATAAGTTAATAATAAAAACTCATTTAATGACATTAGTTTAAAATTATTTAATTTAGAACTAGATCTGCAATTGCACAAAGACCTATCTCAAATCTCTTTTTAGAAGGGTTTTTCATTTAATTTGGCCTCAAACATCATTTTCTTTCTATAAAACAATTGGCTTCATATTTTGTTCAGTAATACAACCATGAATCCAGTTTTGATAATAACAGCACCACAGAGGATCCTCTTGTCAATTTTTTAACCATGGTCTATAATGATTTGAACGATGGTATGAAGGTTGCTGGATTGTCCCTATTTATTATAAAAGCTTTTGATACCCTAGATCACGAATTTTCAATTCAAAAGTTGTATGATATAGGGGTGTTGTATTAAAATAGCGGTCTAACTTACAGGGTCTAGGTGCACATGGTTTATAACATATATTCGCTACCGGTTCTCGGTAGTTCGAAGATAGCGTCTCACAGATACGAGGGTTCCAGTCGTAGCTTTCTGAACACAATCAATGTGTATCAATTGGAAGTAGCCTGAGCATGTGAATAAAGATAGACATGGGGTTCCATAAGGCTCATAGATAGATATGGGAGATATAAGATATTCACCAATATCGGTTTCAATTGAAACATTGTCACGCTCAGAATTGGGAGTCAAGGTTTCATGGAGGAGTCAAACAAATGTATCGACTTTTTCTTGATCAGACAGAGGAGAAAAGATGCAATGTGGTGTTTCAGGATTCTTTTCATGGTTGTACAGAACAATTTATTAGAACTTGTAAGATTGTATAGGTAGGCTTGGGCCTGACATTTTAGGTACAGTATGTTTGCAATGCGTGATGGGAGGGGTTTGGTTAGTTTGAGGGTTTTGAGAGACCTGGCGAGTAGTGCCAACCTGAAGTGGTGAAGAGATTCACAATCTCGTACAGTTCATCTAGGGTTTTTAAGGAAAAGGGTTCTTGAGGTCGATGGAATTTTCTATTTGGGGGCTAAAGGCTATCTATTTATGAATCTATTTATTTTACCATTTATTTATTTACTTAGTTAGATAATTACTTTTTTAGTCACTGGTATCTGAATATATCTGGCTAAACATCCCTGATAAAAAAAGCAAGTTAAGAAAAAACTAACCAATTGGAACAATTCCCGGTAGAATGATGATGATGGAAGTCATCTTCATGTGGGACATTTATGTCACGCCTAGACTGATTAGTCAGGCAGAATCTATGTTTTTAACTTAAGTTTATGGAGTTATATTTTGTCCAAGGGAATGCCTATATAAAATTTAATTATCTGAAGAACTTTTCCGATGTTTATATTCAAACGATGACTATACCAGGCATGCAAAACAAATAAATTTATGTCAGTAATTTCGGGTGGAGCGGGAAGAGTTTTTCAAGCTGGAATCGAGTCTGAAATCTGATGATTACCTGGTATTATCATGGTTTTTCAGGAAAGGAGGCGTGATGATGAACCGCTTGAAAAACCTGACGTGCTTCTCCCGAAGAAGAGGCCTGACTTCGGGGAACATCTCGGCCGGTCAGGAAGTCGAAGAGAAATCTGCAGTTGACCTGAAGTAAGACCGGCGTTTACTTTGGCATTTTTACCCCACGGCCCACCAGGCAGACGTGAAACTTGAAAGTACTGAGGACGTGATTGATAAGAGAAAGGACCGGGAAGGTAACGCCGGATGAGAGGTTATCCGCCAGATTAATGGACGCAGACTTAAATACTTAACACACAAAAAAATTAATTTTGAAGATAAATGAGTTTTTGTGAAAAGATTAAAGTCAAAATCTTGTTTTCAAAAGTGTTGGTCTACCAGTCTAGACTTATTTATACTTAATGGTCTCAATACAGGACAGTCATACTATCCTCCCTCCAAAAAAAGTATTAATTTTGGACTACCTTGCTTCTCTTTTTGTGCACGTCCTATTTTGAAAAAAATATCAGAAATTTATCAAATTCTAGGGTTACAATTTCTTCTAAAAAAACACCACAGCAGAATGCTCCTTTTTGTCAAATATAATAATAAACAGACGTTCAAAGTGATTAATCAAATGCATCATCCAAAAAGAAAAAACAGCACCAGTAATCAATTGAAAGATAGAAACGTCAAATTTGCTAGTACAGTGGGTCCTGTTTATTGTGACCGCGGTGATAATAATCACGCGTAAGAGTAATTAAAAAACAAGGGACAGGAACATTTATGCATTATACACTATTTCCCAGTTTATAGCGATCATTATCTCAGTTAAAGTGATCGCAAATCTCACAAAAATGTGCAAAAAGTAAGAATTTCAGTTTCAGGAAGAAATATGAACTTTAAAAAAAATGTATGATATGCTACCAAAATTGAGCCGACAGGAAGCTCCCAATCGTTCACAGTTATACAATTTTACTGTAGCAGAAAATTTTGAAAGTTACGAATGAAAAACGAGGATAGGAAAAGAAAGAGAGGTGGGAAAGATGATGATATAGAAGTCGCATTGAAAGAGTGGTTAATCAGAAAGATGCTAGAATAAAGTGCTGAAGCAGAAAGCTGAGGAGTTAACTACTAAATTGGGTAAGAATAACTTCGTTGCGACAATAGCATATGGCTGTACCGAAGATAAAAAAGGGAGAACCTCACTTACAACCACATGAAGAGCAATGATTTGAGATAGAATATAATTCTAACAAATTTTTGTTCAATACAAGTACCTATTATGCATTTTCATTTATTCACTATTTTTCGTGGTCCGCTTGGCCAATTAAAAACATTAAATTAATTAAGGTTTTTACGTTGAGATAAAAAAGTCAGGGTTCGAATCCCGCTCGTAACACTGCCTTTTTAACTCAACTTAAAAACCATAATTAATTGAATTTTCATCTATATTTTTTTCACCCCGTCTATTGTGATCGCTTGCTTACAGTGATCATTTCAGACTTACAGAGAAATGATTACAATAAGCTAGACCCTTTCTATTTTCTAGCTTCAACAACTGCTTCTTTAAAAATTTCTTTTATATTTGAATGTACAACGTTGATATCAAGTTACATATAAAATTCTAGAATTTCTTTTAGTTTGATCGTTTTCTAAGTTTTCGGTCCGCTCATTCTCACCGTTTTGGTCTGTCATTTCATCATCTTAAGTATGGTACGTTTCCGCTTTTGCGTATGTACGTCCTATTTGTAGAAATTCCGCAAACCTAACACGTGCGCCAGATGCTATTGCGAATCATAAAAGACAACAGGATTATGTCTTATCAAGCCGCCTGCATCTTGGCAGTTCAAATGACCTGTATTTGGAAGAGCTGGCAGAAAACTAATGACCAGTTCATAAGTAGCCACACCTTTAACAATTCCACGCGCCGAAGAAAACTTATTGACTCAACTATAATCTCCACTGATGGTAGCAACATCAAATAAAATAATAGTAATAATCGTATTTAAGCAAAGAAATACTGAGGCAGTTCACAAAGAAAAATATAGGCATAGCACACACTGCTCTAATAATCAGGCAGAGATGATGGTTTAAAACTGACCTCAAAAACTGACAGATTTCCCTCACAAGGGCCCATGTAATGTCCAATATTGAATGCCGAATCACAAATCCAACCCAGAAAATTTCCATTCTCGATTACCTTTGAGTTAAATAAAACCCTGTCAAGGTCATATAAAAACAGCGGAATACAAATTCACGTTTCACAACACTTTCACCCAAAACCAGTATGACAAGAATAACACCACAGTTTATTGCAGTATGAAATACTTGGTTCAAAATTTATATTTACATCTTCAATTGTAGTTTTTTTAATCAACACATCTTTTGTCATTTACACAGGCCCTGAAGATGACCCGACTAAAGGTCGAAACGTCAGCAAAAAAATAAAAAAGGTTTTTTCTAAACTATATCATTCTTGACCGCTCCTCATGACTTCAACAAATAATGAAACAACCGGTAATTAAGAAAAGTAGATAAAAAGAAAAATTAATTGAAATAATTAATATAGTAAATTATGACCGCTAAACATATATCGATTAATGATGTTGTTACTTTTTGTTGATTATTTAGAGATTATGAGATGCAGTCTGGTGTGATGTAGGTTTAAAAAAAATATTTACAAACGTTACTTTTTGTTAAGATTTGTTGAAGGTGAGGTTCCGGGTGAACTTCTTATCAAAGAGTGTCCAATATTGCGTAAACGAACTAGGATTGTCGGAAACGACCAAACTATAATTTCCAGTTTATAATTTTCATCAATACGAATTAAAAATAGGGATAGTTTAGCAAAGGAAAACAATTCAAATAGTACCAGTACTTGAAGTAATCGATAAAAGTACCAGTGTTCGAGGTTGATATACCGTGTATCGATTGTCGTCGGTGGAACAGTGCCGAAGGGGCTTTCGTTTTGGTCGGCTCGGTTTGTTTTGGTTGATCCAGCGCCGAAAGGGAAAACGTTTTCCGCGATTTTCCACTCTCTTCGGCATGTCGGCCCTTGAGAAGAAAAGATACGATTGCACCGCCCTTCCAAAGGGCTGGCAGAGGGAAGAGATCACGAGGAAGTCGGGACTCTCCGCCGGGAAAGTCGACGTCTGCTACTACAGGTGACCTGCTTCATATAGCTTTACACATTTTACTACACTCAACCGTCATTTATTTGGTCGGTTTTATTTTTATCAAACGCATAAAAATAATAAAAACTACTTAAGTTATGTTTAACGGATCCACGGGTCAACGGCCGAGACCAACAATCAAAATTAATTTCCTCCTGCTCGAGGAAGACTATTTTTTATTAGAAAGTACGTGATTCTGTTTCTATTTCAAATCGGCTGTTCTGTCCAGACAAGCAGAAATGTGCTGTGGAATTTTGTCTGAGGGTATCCAAGCAACCTTCAGCTGTCATTGCTAATTAGGGTAGGAACTCTAGAAGAATATCTACAAATTTAAAAACATGGATTGTAAAAGAAAAGGTTGATAAACATTATTAAATACTTATGTAGTTTGATCATCCTGGTCTGTCTTAGCTTTTTCTGCATTTTGTATTTTTCTCAGGTGACCCCTTTGTTTCAGTTAAACCATACTTTACAGGGTTGAACACCTAATTTATTAAAGAATCATTTTTTTTGCTAATATCATTCATAGATTCAATTTTTTTATCTTGTTAGCTGTTAAATTTCTTTATTTAGATGAACGCCAGTTAGGTACTTGTACTACTAATAGTTTGGTTGTCACTCAGACACTTTACAATGTTAGAAATATTGACCACTTTTTCACTCAAGTACACTCTGGATCAAGGCACGCTCTTGAAGAAAAAAAGCAAATTCAGTTGTTAGTAGTGTCAAGCTTTCGACCTATTTTAATGCCATCAAGGCAAAACAATTTGAAATATTAGGTTTGCTCTAGAGATGTTAAACTTCATGAAAAATGTATTATTTAATCAACTTTCAGTTTATGAACAACCAAACCCCCTCCTGATTGTACTAGACTTACTGCATATCAGTTGTTGAAAAACGTACCTGAGATCAATGATCAAGGTGATGATGATAAATAGAACTGTTTGGTTTTCAAGTTTTGTAATTTTATCCACAATTAATTATTGAAGGATTTATAGCAGTAGACTTTTGTTAGTTTAAAGATCTTCCTCAAGCAACAACCGATTCGGTGCAGGCTTCCAAGGAAATGTTACCCCAGAGAACATGAATGACCCCCTGTGGAATGACACCTGAGGTACCATACAGCATGGGGTGTACCTTCTCCCAGCGTCTCCATATGATATTACAAAATTACATCCATCTGAAGAATTGAGGCCACCTCTTCCTTCATCTGTAAAGAGAACTCATCCCCAATTTTACAATATCTAAATACACATTTTCCCGTGCATATTGAAGCCTGGCCATTTGATGGTCATGAACCGGGTGCTGGGCCCTGAGGTTATTTTCATTGAGCCTTCTTACAGTCCTGGAGGAGATTGAAACACTGTCATGGACTTGTCTTATCAGATTCTTATCACATTAACTGTGCTGCGGTTTTGTAAAGCCTGATGATGAATCTCATTTCTGGTCGGTAGACTTAGAAGAACTCTTTCTATTGTAGAGTGATTTATCTCATTCTCCTAGTGTCTTTGTGCTGGTTGTATCCTTCTACTAATAATGTTATGACTTGACACTGTCATACTCACTCAAGTGACTGACTGGTGCCATTGAAAAAGTTTTAAGAAAAAGAACAATATCAAATAAAATCAACAAATCAAAAACATTAACTGAAGGCAATCTTTAGGCAGTGCAGAATGGAAGTGCATAATATATTTTTTGTGCAAATAGGATTAATCAGTACAAAAGTAAATAAAGGAAGTAAACAGAGCATTATTTACTGTTTATTTTGACTTTGATAGTTCATAATTACCTGTAACTAGTGTAGAAAAATAATGGATTTAATTTTAAACTAAATAAATTGAGTGGTGGGTTAAATTTGTCCATCAGTGTATGGGTGTGATTTTGTTTCGTGCATGCATGTGTCCTTTGCGCGTATCAGCTGACTTTCAGTCATCAGTCTAATTTCCATTTGTTAAACAAATAATTATTTACTTAATATTGTTTTTGTTATGTATTATTATACTTAAAAAGTTCGACATTCAATCCTTTTTAAAAAGATAGTTCTGGATCGTTGGAAAACAACTTACTATGAGTAGGAACTATCTTTTTAAAAAGGATTGAACACCGCACTCACTCCACCATTCATAATTTCTAGGTCTATGTTCTTTTTACGTGTAATTGTATAAAGATTTGAGATTCTGTGATAAAACGCAATGACAGTTATGTCCTTGTACATGCGAAATAAGTAAAAGTGATGAATACTCATGTAATATATCTGATAAATTCAAGTTTAATTCACTGAAAAGAGGTTTATGAAAAACAATAAACAAAAAGAACACCTTCAGCATGGATATCAATTATATCTCCTCTCCTGTGAAAGCAATTAAATGTTTATTCCCTACTATCATGCACCATATTGTTCTACCAATGTTTGACTTATTAATTTGTTATGTTATTTATTAATTTGAAAATATCTTTAAATTTGTGCTCGCTTTTGTGTTCTTTTTTGCAAGCTTGATTTATTATGTTATAAATATATTTATAAAGTGTTGTAAATTTATATTGGTTTTGTCGTTCACTCTTGTCAGTAAAAAGCACTGAGTTTATTTGAATCAGATTTTAAAATTTCTCCCATCCATATTTATGTTTGGGTGGTTGGAGCATGTAATTTTTTATTTAAAAAAAAAAGTTAAAACTGATAGTGATGGGGCGGGTTTGTGTCTTTCTTGATTTCAGCCCCGAGGGTCAGAAATTTGAAAGCAAGCCGCAGCTCGTCCGCGCAATAAGCGACACCGTCGACCTGACGGCGTTCGACTTCTCGACCGGCAAGTGCAATAACAGCCTCCTGGTGCGGAGGCACAAAAAACCAAGAGCTAACCAGTTTGACTACAGGTAAAGGTCGATGGCATGTGAAAATAATGGAAAAGCATGTGTGGGACTGAAAGGGAAAAAATCAAAATGGGATTCAAAATGGGCCTCTTTTTTTTAAAATAACAACTTATGAGAAAAACCTCTTATTTGGAAATCAGTTTTCAATTATTTTTGGTAAATTTATTGAAAGCTCTCAACCTATTAATAAGTGTTATAGAAGTTAATTGAACTTATCCATTGGATAATTGATTTGTTAGCCAGGTAGTTCTGATATTGTGCCAGATTGTGATGTACAGAATTAGGAAAGAATTATTTATAAAATTTTAATATTTTTCTACAATAATTTTGATTAATCTTCAAAACCTAGCTGTTGGTCATGCTTGCAAATTGTTTTACAATCATTTTACCATCAATTAAAAAATGATTACTATAAGCTGCTGATGATATATTAAATTGACATATTGAAACTTACGTTAAATCAATGGGTTAGTGTGTTCAATTTCTTCCTCTGATTTTTCCATGAGATGGTAAAGATAAGCTTACACAATTGTGATTTTAAGCTTAGCAGTTGTTTTAAGGATAAATGTTTCCAGCTTTTCTTCTTGCTTTTTATTTGATGTTTATGAACTACCTTTTCCATGTTGAAATTTAAAACCTCCTTATGATGATTCTAATTAATATGTGTTTGATTAGCAGCCGAGGGATGCGGAATGATGCCTCCCTGGTGCCTCCGATTAGACAGACAGCGTCCATATTTAAGCAACCAGTGACTCTGTACCGCACCCAGGAGGGTAAGACCAAATCGGAGTTTGGAAAACATGGAAACCAAGAAAAGCCCAAGCAGGTGAGCTAAATAAAATTTCAAATTTATAAAAATATTGATAACCTATTGGAAACAGTTGTTCTGGGAGAAACGACTCGAAGGGCTGAGGGCGAGTGACATAGATGGTTCAGAACTCAAAGGAATGGAACTACCAAGGAATTTGAAATCAGTCGGACCAAATGTCAATGACGAGACGCTACTACAGTCCATGGCCACTGCTTTACACGTCCTCGGTCAGCCTATAACAGGCCAGCTGGGAGCGAAAGCCTCCCTTGAGAAAAATCCAGGCGTTTACCTCAACCCTGAGCAACCACTTGTTCAGGTCACTATTACAATTTATATTTAATCCCGTCCATTCATTTTAAAAATTTTCACTCTTTTATTTTAATCCCAGGCCGTTTCAATCACTGAAGAAGATATTAAAAGACAGGAAGAGCGAGTCAACCTTGCCCGGAAGAGGCTTGAAGATGCTATGAAAGAGCTGGAAGGCTAAACAATTTTCTACATCTTTTCCATTTTAGAAAGAAACCAATTTTTTGTATATAGGTTTTTGTTTAGTATGATTTTCTTGTATTTATTTCAATTTTATATTTTTGAGGGAAAAAAATTATGCATTTATCGATCTCATTGACAGACTTGACATTCTTCAAACTGTCAGACGATTTCATTTAAATTATTTTTTGAATTATTATAAAATATTTTGTACTTAACTTACGACACTGAAATTCACAGTATTTTTAATACAACTATTTATGTAACGCGTCAAGACTTGCTCAACAGAAATGTCCAAACATTTTTAGAATGTACATGTAAAGTTTTTTTTTATTCTAAAAGAAATGATTAAACTATTTATTGATGTTGTGAAATTTCTGTGATCTGACTTATATTTTTCTTATTTGAAATTTTTAATATTTACACTATTTAATAATTTATATTTTTAAAAGCTCAACCCTGGTGTTGATGCCATCTTTCAAACTTTTTGTCAATCTTTATGTACCTGAATTTAATCATAAAATTAAATTGTGTATTTAATTTGTTTTAAAAACAAAAGGTAATCCTTGATGTTCTTATGAGATGGTTTATAAATATTTCTCTTCAGAATTTCTTCATCCTAATATAACTTCTTTTTTAAATTTATTATTTCTGTTTGAAAAAATTGTTTTGAGCGAAAGGGATTAGTTTTTATTATCACTTTGAAGTTTGTAAAATTTTAATAGGTACTAAATTAAAGTTTTTACACAAAGTAAAATTACACCAAATTTATCTACTTCCAACATTACCATTATCAGTATTGATTTATTTTAACCATACAAAATAAATTCTTTGTTTACAAAATGGAAATCTTCAGGCATGGCTTTAACAGAACAATCTATGTGATTCAGTTATTTAATCTGCAAATAGATTACACAGTTTAAAAATATCAATATAGAAACAAGTTGGGAGCAAATATCAATTTATTTAGTGCTCTACAAGTCTCATAGACAACGCAGTTGTGGGTTCAATTCCCACCATCACCTGTGGCCTTTTTACCACGCTACCCTTTCCCCAAGATGCAATTTATTGAATTCTTTAATTTTCTCTAAGGCTAATATAAAAAAAAAATAAAATAAACTACCCGAAATACATGTCATTCGTCATGAAGTATACAAAATAAATAAATAAGGCAGGCAATACAAAAAACAGGGCAGACACCTGCAGCAGATGGACTGTATTATGACAGATTATACAGTAGACACCAACTAAAAAGACAGATTTACTTCGTTAATCAAGTAAGAAGAATTTTTCTTCTTGTTTCATTTTCCTCTCTTTTTTTAAGACATAAGCATGTTTTGCAACACTAATAAATATAATTTTAGGAAGATGAAATTGAAGTTTAAAGGAACCGGGAAGAAAGAGACTTCTGAAAGGTAGATATTAAAATTCAATAGTATGATCACTAATACTAGTCATAAATATTTAATAATTTTACATTTCTAAAATATGTATTAATTTTTATACAAAAAAGATTGGGATGAAAAATTAGTGTCACAAGCGGGACTCGAACCCATGACAAACGTAATTTATTGAAGGTCCCGTCATTTAATGCATTGGGCTGTATGATAAAAAAGAAGGTTAAATTTGTCTGGTTATGATTAGGGTATATTATTATGGTATTCCCCCTCACAGAGATTGGGAAATTTTTGTTTTAATTAATAATAAAACCAGGTTAATAATAAAATACATTGAACAAATGAAAAACTGTTTCCTTTATTTATAATATTAAGACAACTGTTAAAATTCAATTTGATGTACAGAATATACTCAGAGTGTCTCCTATCTTCCAGTCGTTTAACAACGAAAACAGACTTCTGAAAATATTTTCGATACACCAATAACAAATGACAGGGTTTTTTTTTCAGAACACCATTTTATCTAGGCCAATAGTATTTTTTTGGTGTTGAATTTTAACAGATTTTATTTTACATTCAATTTTATTTTGTGGAATTTAAATGTCACACGAGCAAATAATTGATTAACCTTTTTTTAAACCTTACATTGTGTGTAGTCTTGTATTATCAGTCCTTAATTTACCAAAAATAATGCTATGTGATTTTTATAACATTAATGACTGTCTATAAATAATGCTAACAAATTTATAATGTTGAGCTAAAATTCTATAATTTTTGTACTTATATATGTATAAAAAATAGGTATAAAACAAGACAATGGTAAACCGCTGAAATATATTTTTTCATGAAATATATATTTAAAAGAAGCTAATTTTTTCTGTTAAAAAAATGGTTATAATAATTCAATAAAACATATACAAATTTTACAATTAAAAATAATAAGAATGTTAGATAAAAATTGAATTTTTGTCTAACTATATATATACTTTTTATTTTTATTTATTTTTTTAAAGAACACAGCCCACTCCTCAATCGCATCTTTATAAATGAATACTCTTGCTCCTGTAAATCAATACTTTTGGTCCTTAAACACAGTAAAGGAAAACAATAAATGAAGGAAAAAGATAACTCTTGAGCTCCTAGGTGAATATTGAGCAGAGCGTTTCAACTACAAGAATAGAGTAAAACTTATATTTCAAGAAGTAATATTCACATTTTATATACAATAATGATTACAATAAGTGTTCCAATAAGAGTATATACATCATAACTAGAAAAGTTTCTAAGTGGGTGTTACATCTCAAAAACCAAAAATAAGGAGTTTTAATAATTGACAGATTATAATTTTTCTTTTTGAAATGGTAACTTGTTGTCAATCAACTCAACCTGATTTCTCCGTAATTTACAAAACAGTCTATTTTGCTAAATTGGAGGGTTTCAAACAACAACTATTTTTTTGTCTTTATAATTATACACCTTTACATATAATAAATCAGTTAGATAATATACAATTATATACATCCATATGAAACAACTTTTGTGGTCGAAAAAAAAGTGTATTTCATTGAAAATAAGAATAAAGGAAAAAACAAAAATCCAGAGAGACTTGTAAGGCATCACAGATTTTTAAATAAAATGAAGAGAGATTACATTTGGTATTAAAAATTAAGGAAAATGAAAAAAGAATGACTTCTCTCTGGTTTTCACTTAAGTGGTAAAATAAAATATAAACGAGGAACTTATTGTTTGGTTTGTTACTGACCCCGCTATCTTTCTTCCAAATTTTACAAAATATATAATATATGTATATATAAATAGTTTTATTTCACAAATTGTATTTAGGGAATTATCAAAAGAAAAGACAAAGAAGAAAAGGATTGAAAGCTTATCCTGTGATTATATAATTTCCTCCTCTTTCAAACCTTCCTAAATTACTGATGTCACTAAAATTGAATTTGTTATGTAAGTGTATTTTTAACCTATTTGTTAATTTACTATTTGGCAGGTAGACATTTTTAAATATTAGGTTTTTAAAAATCAGTATTAGTATCTAATATTAAATTTGTAAGGCAAGTGATTAACAATTTTTTTAAAAACATTTTGTAAAAATATACTATTTTCACCCTTAATAATAAATTTTGTTTTCAAAGATTAAAGTGGAAGATAAGTGATTACTCAATTGTCAATTGGAAGTAAAATTCACTTTTGAACATATTTTATTTCCAAAAATGCAACATTGACTAGAAAACAAATGCTATTAGAGAAAAGTTTAAATCCACTTATTTCTACAGCGATAAAAAACTAAGCTGTTTTCAAAAATGTATCCGTTTAAATATAACTCTAAAGGTCCCAATACTTAAGCTGCCCTAATTCACTAGAACTTAAAAAACAAAACAATTTTCCAAAACTTTGAATATGTATATATTATTATGTAACTCATATTATTTGGAGGCATTTTAAAAAAATAGTACATAGGCTACTTACTGATATGTTATTATTTTCCATAAAGCAAGTGTCATTTTACAGATTGTCATGTAAAAAACATTTAATTTCCAATCATGGAGAAATACCTGGTACGATATTTCGTCTCGACTCTCCCCCTTTTCTCTTTATACTACCTTTTCCAAACTAGGTATAGAAAATTAAAACAACAAAGTAGTAAATCGACTGAAAATCAATTCCAGTTCTTAAAACTTCACCGGGAGTCTGCAAGGCTGTATTCTTCCCAACAGCTGTGATTTTATAAAAACGCTTTTAGAATTCAGGCGATGGAGTAGACTCAGACATATTTTCGGACGACGCCTCGCTCAGGTTGAGCGATGAAGACTTGTGTGAAGCCCTCCGTTGTCTTAGGATGGAGGCGTCAAAGTTTGGATGTCTTCTTGCATGCTTGCTGCAACAAATCCATTTATGTTTAGTGGTCTAATTGACCATATTACTTATTTTAATTAATTATTCTTTTTATGTAAGTTCTTGGTTGAGATGAAAAATTTAGGGTCACGAGCGGGTTACAAACCCGGCCAAACCTAGTCGATGGAGGTGGGTTCGAATCTCGCTTATGACACTTTTTCATCTCAACCAAGGACCTAACATAAAAAGAATAATTAATTGAAATCAAATAAAACTAACTGAGCATACAAAGTTGAGGAATATTTCTTTACCTTAGGTGATCACTGCGCATGAACTTCTTGTTGCAAACAGGACATATAAAGTTCTTCTCCCCAGTGTGTGTCCGCCAATGTCTTGCTAATTCGTCTGACCTTGCGAATCGCTTCGTGCAGTCTTTCCACTGGCAGGGAAACGGCCTCTCTCCTATTAAAAAAATAAAATGCATTTAAGTCAACCAATTATTTAAAAAAAAATATATCATTTGACCATACAGTATGAAAAGGAGGAAAGAAGAATTGAGTATTTGGGAACACATGGCTTCAACACTCAAGCTAGTAGTACTAAGCTAAAAGTTACTTTTTGTTTGTCTTCAACTTTTTTTAATTAACTACATATATTCAATACAAAAGAGGGGGAGCAATGCTTAAAAGAACATTAACGAAATAACGAACTTCATTAGCTGGTTTTGTGGTATTTTCGATTTTATTTTTATGACAAATAAATGATATAATAACGGACGATAAAGAAAGGTGTCTAAATTATAAGTACAAATTTTGCCAAATCAGCATACCCAATTTTCTTGTTAAGTCCTGTGTCGGTAAGACCACCCGCTCCGACAGTTCCGAGGGCTCCAAGTATGAAGGGACTTGATCGGCCGTTGGGGGGGGGGGTTCCTTTTAAGCGGAGGATTATAACGGGTGCGTGAGGAAGCGAGTAATCTCTCAGGACTTTGCACGAGCCGAAACTTGATTGGGTCCCAGCTCTTCGGCGAGGAAAGGAAGGTTCCTTTTATCCTTGGGTCAAGGAGGATATAAACTTTTCAACGGGTCCATGCCTAATTACGGACCATTTTAATTTTCAGCCCCTTCTGCCTGCAAACGTGGATCGGTCTTAATTTAATTCCTAATTAAATTGCAAGGAAGAATCTAATTTATTTTTGTATCAAGAAGGATGAGGGTCTGTTAAACAACTTTGCCTCTCGAGAACGAGATCAAACCAGCCCTCTTCTAACAACTAAACCCAGCGATGAAAGTAGATATTTTTAATTACTTGTAAATAAGTAAAACTGTAATACAGACTTTAACATGGTAATTTACAAAATTCCGTCCAACTCACTTTCACGTGTAGCGGAAAGGCGAATGAGAAAAGGGTGGAAACATCGAG